TTAGTGGGCGTGTGGGTTAGTGCGGTACGTTAGTGGGCGTGTGGGTTAGTGCGGTATGTTAGCGGGCGTGTGGGTTAGTGCGGTACTTTCGTGGGCGTGTGGGTTAGTGTGGTACGTTAGCGGGCGTGTGGGTTAGTGCCGTACGTTAGTGGGTGTGTGGGTTAATGTGGTACATTAGCGAGCGTGTGGGTTAGTGCGGTACGTTAGCGGGTGTGTGGGTGTGTTGGTTCGTGCGGTACGTTAGTGGGTGTGTGGGTTAGTCCAGTACATTAGCGGGTGTGTGGGTTAGTGCGCTACGTTAGCGGGTGTGTGGGTTAGTGCAGTACGTTAGGAGGCGTGTGTGGGTTAGTCCAGTACTTCGTGTTTTCATGACGATTTGTTGCTCGGGTTGTGGATGAGGCTGTAGACTTGCTCCCCAAGCCGGTGAGTTTGGTTGCAAATGTTTCATCACCCTGCTAGATAACTTCACCAGTCCACGTGTGAGGCGTCGGTGTTCTGTCTTGCTAGTTATTTATATGCCTCAGTTTGTTGGGGTGTTTGGTACCACTTCTGGTTCTGTTTCTCTGTGGTTTATACACAGGGTCTAATTCAATGTGTTTGTTAATGGAGTTCCAGTTGGAATACCAGGCCTCCAGGAATTTCCTGGTGTTTTTCTGTTTGGCTTGTGTGATCATGGCAGTGTTGTCCCAGTCGAATTCGAGTCCCTCATTGTCCATGTGTAGTGAGAATTGGTCATGTCTGTTGGTGGCTAGTTGGTTTTCATGTATCCGTACTGTCAGTTTTCTTCTGGTTTGGTCTGTGTAGTGTTTCTCAAAATCCTTGCGTGGTATTTTGTATATTACACCGGTTTTGGGTATGGGATCATTTATGTTCGTCAGTAGCTGTTATAGCGTTGTTATTGGTTTGTGGGCTACTCTGATACCTTGGGGTCTGAGTAGTCTTGTGGTCATCTCTGAAATGTCTGATGTGCAGTAGGGTGATTAGTGAGTCTGGTCATGTTGTGTCTTCCTGTTGTGGTCTGTGTCGGAGGTAATACTCCTTATAGGTGTTCCTGTTCTGCTTTGTGTAGTTCCGGGTTGCTGCAATGTGTTGCGGCTCATTTAAATAGTGTCCTTGTGCAGCTCTGTTTGTGGGCATTGGGGTGGTTGCTCGTATAATTGAGTATTTGGTTGGTATGTGTGGTCTTTCTATCTACGCTAGTCTGGAGTTCCCTGTTGTTTTGCAGTGCGGCACGTTTGTGGGTGTGTGGGTTGGTGTGGTATGTTTGTGGGTTGGTGCAGCAGTGTTAGCAGGCGTGTTGGTTAGTGCAATGTGTTAGCAGGCGTGTAGTTTAATGCAGTGTGTTTGTAGGTATGAGTGTTTGTTTCATCCATGTTTGGGGCAACATGTGTTTACTTCTACTTCATAAAGAATTTTAAAGACAATGTTATAACAGTGTGAATGTTTGCTTTACAGGCTGATGTTTCTCTGACCTGCCTGAGTGACAGCGTCTTCGTGACATTCTTCAGAAGTAATTTAAATACCTACTCCTTCTCTTGTCCTTCAGGTCCTGGGTTAATGTATACTGCGTGGTTAGCAAAGGAGACCTGGGTTTTTATAAAGATGCCAAGGGATATAAATCAGGAGTAACCTATAATGGAGAGCCTCTCATCACTCTGAGTGAGTCCAACTGCGAAATTGCTAGCAACTACAAGAAGAAGAAGTTTGTCTTTAAAGTCCGGTGAGTGTGACAGAGAAATGGAGACTTTGATAAGATTCAATTTCAAGTCGTGTTTGTAACATGTTCGGCTGCCAGCCCCTTAGGGCTCAAAGAGTCACAATGGATTTGTAAAGATGAGTAAAGGTCCATTAAGCAGCTCGCCAGGACTGACGTAATGTGGACACAGCTGGGCTGCTCAGTTATCATCTGCAACAATGCATGTATACTTGTATTAGCACACTCTCTCACTTTTTATGCTTAACTCACTAGACCCTCATTGTTGAATATATAACGTTCAGGAAAACACATCTCTTTGAATGTTAGAGTAAATATTTCCCATTGGTGAACTGCAATGATAGTAGTGAACAGCCAGTAGGAGAGAGGGCCAAGTGTTTCGTGGAATAGTTTTATTCCATACTTGATCTGAGTCATCCTTCGCACTTTCTAATTGTGTTTCTTTCTCATTGTGACAGAATGAATGACGGTAGTGAATACCTGTTCCAGGCTAAGGATGAGGTGAGCTTCGCTTCTGTGAGGTTTTGGTCTCCTTACTGAATAGAAGATACTGACCATGGAGGGGTTGCAGCCAGAGTTCCCCAGACTGAGGATGACAGGGTTACCTTGCGAGGAGAGGTCAGGTTTCCTGAGCCTGTACTCACCGGGTATAAGGGGAATGAGAGGGAATCTCACTAAAACATAAAACCCTCTGACAGGGTTGGACAGACTGGGTGCGAGAATGATGTTTCTCCTGGTTGGGGAGGGAAGGGGTTGTCCAGAACAAGGGGTCACAGTCTTAGGATACACATTAGGCCATTTTGGACTGAGATAATGAGAAAACTCGCCACTCAGGAGGCTGCGGAGGCCAAGTCGCTGGATATATTCAAGAAAAATAGATTTCTAGAGGCTAAAGATATCAAGGCGTAAGGACAGAGAGTAGGGGTATGGCATTGAGATAGAGGATCAATCATGATCATATTGAATAGCAGAGAAGGCTCAAAGGGTTGAATGGCCTACTCCTGCTCATATTCTCTATGTTCCACACTGTGAATGTCAGGGCTAGGGTCAAGGCAAGGAGAGGTGAGACAGTAAAACATTTCAGTGGAATGCAGCACTGAAAGAACACATCAGAACAACTGAGCAGGAGATCCTAGATATCCATCTGGAAGAGTGATCTGGGGATTGATGCCAGATGAAGGGATGGTCCCAGGTGATTGGTGCTAAGAGCATTAATGTGATGGAATCCTAATCTTAGCTGGGCTTTGGTTTCTTTTACTTATGCAATTACAAGTCAGCCACATTGCTGCAGGTGTGGAGTCACATATAGGCCAAATCAGCTAAGGACAGCAGGTTTCCATCCCTAAAGAACATTAGTGAACCAGTTGGGGTTCGGTAACTGTTGATGGTCACCATCACTAAAAGTGGCTCTTCTAATTTATTTTGAATTCTATCAGGGCCAAAATGGCCTTTGAACCCATATCTCCTGAATATTAGCCTGGGTCTCTGGATTACTAAACCAGTGACATTAACTCTGCACAATCATAACCATTTAGCTTCAATATCTTGAATTATTACCCAGTGGTGTGTGGACAGTGAATCGCTGCAGTCAGCCCACAGAAAAGGTCTCCAGTAATGAAATAAGTTGCCTACAGTTACAGCAGAGTCTCTCACATGCCTGGTGACCATTGCAAAATGCAGTAGATGCATGGAAACAGTGTAGAAACACTGGTTTCAACCAAAATGTAAATATAAGGGAAGACTGTGGTATAGCGGTAATATCAGTAGACTAGTAATCCAAAGATGCAGACTAATTTTCTGGCAGCACAAGTTCAAATCCTAGCAGGGCAGCTTGTGGAATTTAAACTCAATTAATAAATCTCAAATTGAAAGTAATGGTGACCGGGGAAGTACTATCAGTTGTAAAAACACACCTGGTTTACTAGTGCCCTTTACGGTAGGAAATCTGCTGTCCTTAACCCATCTGGCCTACATGTGACTGCAGACCCAATGCAATTGACTCTTAACTGCCCTCTGATATGGCTGAGCAAGCCACTGAGTTCAAGGACATTTAGAGATGGGAGACAAATGCTGGCCCACATCCCATGAAAAAATTTTTAAAATAAGTCTTGCAGCAATGGAAGTTACTCAGAATATTCTAGAGACACTGGGCGCTGTACATTCGGCTATCTCTGGACAGTTGAGTAGTGGATAATATGTATATATTGCATTACAGAAACCTGATGTTACCTGATGATGGTTGTATCAAATACATTCACATGATTTTCTTTTGTTGCTTCTTCAATGTCCCCCATTTTAGGAGGAAATGAACAACTGGATCAAGACTATTTCCACAGCCATCACAGAACATGCACAAATCGCTCAGCAAGGCGGTCAGATGCCTCTTACTACCTCCTCCACTGATGAAGGCAATCCTAAACGGGACAGTGACCGAAGATTCAGTCTCTTTGGAAAGAAGAAGTGAGGACAAGAAAACACCATTGGCTTTGTATTGCACAGATTGGATCCTTACAGTCGCTTATAGGGACGGATTCTCACTTGGTGATGTAGAAATTGTTTCATCTTGAACCTGAGCAACTAGTGTTTTTAATTTGACAATTTAAACAGGAGTTGGACAATTGCAAGTGCATATTTTGGATGGGTCTGTGACAATTTTCTATTAAAATCCTCTTCCGCTTTTGGTGCACATTTGTGGATCCAATTGGCTGTTGACTGGAATTCTCTGACCTAATAGTGTGGGATCTAGTCCTGGTCGGATGTTTCAGACCCGGCACGTGATCAGATTGTTGGCTTTTGGACCAAGTTGTCACTTAATGCCCCGGTTCCAAATGTTCAGCTGCATTTTGGTTTGAGAATAAGTGAATGTGAGAAATGTCCAAACTTTTTTTCTGTTAATTAAAGAAAGGGCACTATCAAATCTTTCAGTTTTAATCTTCTTTACAAATTTGTACCCTCTAAGATTAGATGCTTATTTAACATCTCATTACGTGTCGATGGAGATATGTGTGTTCTAATGGATACTGCTGTTAACATGAATCTGAGCCCAGTGTTTGAAATGTGAAGTAACTCATTCCAAATGTGGTTTCTGGTGTTGTGACAGCTCATATCCCACCACAGGACAATCAGAATTCCTAGTATTTTACCAAAATGCCTTTGGTCTTCCTGAAAAGATTCAAGTTGGAAATGTCATATTGAGGAGCCCTGGCAGAATCCAGGGAATGCAGCTGCCCACTTACGTTAAACCGTGCAGTTCCAGTTTGTGGGTCAGCTCTGCAGCAGTGTTTGTCAAGACTTGCTTTTTTCAAAAAGTACAAAGAAAAGTAAGAAAGAAATGCGTGTCTAACAAAGCAATGGCATGACATCTGATTACTTGGAAATAGATGGAAATTACAAAATGGAAACAGGCCATTTGGCCCCCCAGAGTTGCGGTGGCATTTACTGTTCAAGTGAGTAATTGTTTCTAATGATGTGTATCCACCTTGTCCCCTTCTTTGCTCACCTATTGGTGCTACTTAAATTAGAGACGGCAGAGAGGATGAAAAACTCTGAAACGGTTTAAACTAATCAATTCAGTGTTTGCCCATGTCCATTGTAGTGATTTTAGTTTGGTGGTAATGGGTAACAGTGACCTCAGACACATCTCCATTAGTGGGGAGGTAATTGGGGGAAAATGACTGAGAGTAAGGGGCTAATTTTCCTTTGGTGTGCACCTCATTCAAGTTGAAAGAGGAAGAAAGAGCTCACACCCTGCAGCCTGGCATTTACTTCATTTGTGTTGCCCTTTCTGCAGCTACAGTTCATTTCCTGAGTTTAGCCCTCGAAGGGGGTAACCTGCCTCACGATATGTCCTATCTCGTCCTCCTTGAAGAGACAGATGCCAGTGTCAGCAGAGCATTTGGAGCTACGTTTGGCTGCAGAGATGGCGAAGGCTTTAAAATCCCTCGCTGCAATAGAGCAGGAACTGAGGATGCTATGCATTCACTTCAGACCAAAGACAATCCCAGTTAGAGAATGACGTCCAATTGGATTCTGCGGAACTGAACAGGAGTAGAGCACTCATCACCATGACTTACCTAACAACCACACGGACCCCCTCACCAACTGAATAGATTGGCCCTGACTGAACTCTCTGTAGCTCACAGAGTGCTAATTGTACCCCATGCATTTGTTAGGTGGGCAACAATGGAGCCAGGCACACAGTCAGAGGGTCTACCCTATCTTCCACAGCAGTGATGGTCCAGTCCATCAAGCTGTTGGAGAGTCGGCACAGCTGACAAAATTGCACTCACCTTGAACATTTGAGGGAATCAGCATCCAGAGTGTGCAGGATGGAATGGGTGACTGATGCCCCAAAAACAGATTTCACCTTGTCTGGGATCATGAAGTCTGAACCTAAATTATTGAGTTTCCAGGAGGCCAAGCTGTCCTTTGTGTATATTACTGTCACATCCTCACAGCTGGGAATGATCCACCAAAGAACTGCAACAGCTTTCACTCCATAGATATTTATCTCCTCCATCAGAAGAGGCAGTTCAAGGTCAGATTCCTGGGCATTTGGCACGATTCAGTTATCCTGCACAGTTCTAGATTGCTGCTATCATTTGTGGGTTCCCAGCAATTGGGGTACTGACTTCTGTTTCTTGGGGATGTGTTCTCACTCTCTCTGTTCACATGTCAACCTGATCAAGGTGGGATCAAGCCCACGACTCCTCTGCAGGCATCAGGACGGCTTGGGAGGTCAGAGAGTGAACCCTTTGCAACGATAGGGACCAGGGTCAGCACTGGCTGCTCTTTCAGATCTGTGAGAAGGAGGGCACCATGTTATTGGGAGCCTTCAACCATGTATAAAGTGGACTCGACTCAGGGTTAGTGAATTTAATAGTTACTTAGTTGTTTCCTGTTGTCCCAGTACTCCGAACTGACCCAGACCTTAGAATCGTTATTGTAAACAGAGATTCAGAAGGACCACAAGTAGGGACGGGATTGGTTATCAGCCCAGAATTCTTCTCCATTTCAGCCTTTCTGCACTCTGAGGCAAAAATATGGGAAAAAATATTTGTGAGGCTATTTTTCAGATGAATACCATTCCATTGATTTACTGATTACTGTCTTGATCTTTCTGTGAGCCCCCCCCCCCCCCCCCCTCCCGGAGATTCATTGAGATATATCCAAATTATAATGAGTTTGTTTAGCCAAGATTTAGTCGCACTTGCAGAGCACATGAACACTTTGATCAACAGTTTGGCAGGAGCAATCAGTTCTGAAGTTTGGAATGAGAGTTTGCCTTCCTGGACAGCATGAGACTTGCCCGAGTGAGACTGTGACACCCACTGTACAAAGTACTGAGAACCGGGTAAGGAATTGTCAATGGGCAGAAGCAGCAAGCTACAGACTAGAGCAAAATGATCTTTCAATCGGTCAACAAAAGCAACTCGCATTTATATAGTGCCTTTAACCTAGTAAAGCCAAACAGGTCTGGTGGAAACTCTGCAGTCCTGCTATGTTCAGCCACATGATAAGCAGCTCATGGAAAGAGGAGGCTCCACAAACATTAGCAACAACCAGACACCATATTCAAAAGTGAATGACCAAGGCTGGAGTGGCGATAGTCATCTTCAGCCAGAAGTGGCTATTATGCTCTTTCTTGATCTCCTCCTGAGGTCCCCATAACTTTAAAGATAACAGTCCTCAGCCAATTTGATTCTCGCCACATTTTTGTCAAGGAATAGCTGAACAGACTGGATCTAACAAAGGTTACAGGCCCTCATAAACATCCCAGCTGTAGTGCTGAAGATTTGTGCTCCAGGAAGACCGCACTTACGGCTAAACTAAGCTGTTCCATTACATTGACAACACTGTCATCTACTCGACCAAGAAATATCCTGAACACAAAAGCAGGACAATCCTATTACCTCCACATCAATTTACTTCTAATTCAAAAATGATACACAGTGTTGAAATGACTGATATCATGCTATAGGGCCTATTGCACCTTGATCCAAATATGGGCAAATTGCTGAATTCCAGAGATGCAGTGCAAGTGACTCGTTTGGAAATCATGACAGCATTTGAAAACACATGGCATCAAGGAGCCCTAGTAAATCTGAAGTCAGTGAGAATTGGAAGAAATCTCTTCACTGGTTGGAGCCAGAGGTAACATAAAGAAGGTTGTGGCTGTTGGAGACCAACCATCTCAACCCTAGGACATTGTCAAAGTTCGTCCAGGTAGTGTCTTAGGTACAACCATCTCTGACTACTTCAATCATGTTAAGAACGCCAGAGCGACTTTTAAAAGAGATTCAACTTTTAGTTGGTAACTGAAAGAATGACACAAGATTTGACATTTCAAAGATTTTACTATAACAAATGACTAAAAGCACTATTGATTAAACACTACTTTTTTATGTAGGTGATTTTTACTTTAAACTACAGAGGTGGATGTTCCCTTTGTATTTATTACTCATTTCACTCCTGACGGAATTGCACTCCTGTTAGCAAACAGGCCTCAATTACTCCCAGTTTCCATTTGGCTCCCATGTCCCTGTTTTGCTCAGTAGTAACTTTGAGTGATTGTCTTCAGGCATTTGGAGCGTTTCTTCAATCTACTACCAGCCATGAAGCATGTCCCAATTACTTTTCCCCTCTGGCCATGTCAGGACAATTCTTCCTGAAATCCACAGAAGCCTGCAAGATGCTTTTCTTCAGCGAGAGATTGTCTGCCTCTGACATCCAGCTGTGACAGTTTGCAAAGCCAAGCATCCTCTTCTCACTGCTTACCGCACAAAACTTCTGTCTGTCTGTGATATTCTAAGAAAATCTGTAACCCGGCCTTTATGCTGGTATTCTCTGTATCCTTCCCCATGATTGTGAATCACATGGATCTTTGATCTAGGTAGAAAAACTAATTAACTATACCTGAGAATACAAATCTCTTTCATCTTGGAGTTAAATGGACAATATAAAGCACAAGTATTTGCATCCCAATTCTCAACACTTTGATAGGATTTCTCCAGTGTTAAAACACAGGCTTCTGCCGTTGTCTCTGTGCATAGATGCTTTGCACTTCCCAGTAAAACAAATCTGACCCTTCCTTTGATCTTTAACAATTGAACCACCCAGGCTCACCATCAGGCAGACTTCAGAATAGGCCACGTGACCCTCACCATTTTACCTTAAAGACAAGTTCAAAACATACCAATCTTGTAAACCTCAATTGTAACAATGACTATGCCTCCATCATGAGGTATAATAGCTGATGATTGCACAGTGTGCAGGTCCATTTGCAACTCTAATTTTGAAGCATTCAGTACCCACTTGTAGCCAAAACCTGGACAATATCCACTCTTGTCCCAAGTCGTATTTACACCACAAGTATCAGGCAACAAGGGAATTCATGACCACCTCCCTATGTCATTACCATTACCAAATCCTCCTCATCAATCTTGAGATTGGGGGCGGGTGACACCAGTTATCAGAAGGTCATTGAGTCAGCCACAGGAAGCACAGACACGTATAGGATTTTTAAGGGGGGACAGGGTAAGTACTGAGAAGGTGTTTCTCCTCATGGGACAATCTAAGTCCAGACGGCATAGTTTCAGAATAAAGAAGTATCAATTTAAGATTGAGATGAGGAGGAATTTCGTCTCAGAGGATTGAGAGCCTTTGGAACTTTTTGCCACAGTCAGCTGTGGGAGCAGAGGCCTTGTGTGTCTTTAAAGCTGAAATGGGTAGATTATTGATCAGTGGGGGTATTAAGGGTTATGGAGAAAATTGGTAAGTTGGATGTGAGGAATGTCAGATCTGCCATCATGATCCTATTGAATGTTGGAGCAGGCAGAAGGGGCCAAACAGGGCCAAACAGCCTACTCTGGTTCCTATTTCTTACAGTCTTAAAGTAAAG